GCCCTTAGGCCTCAAGCTTTGAGCTGTGAAAGGCACAAGGCAGGGCATTGCATATACACCTGAAACAGGTTCTGACAGGCCTGGGCACCTTTTCCATAGAAGGATTAGGGCTATATGCAAGTTATAAAGTGTTTTGGAAAGCTGCCTTTCTCTCCTTAGAAATGATCAGTGGGCATTGTCCTGAAATTGTATTGTTTACTCAGTGGCATTCTATTGTACATGTGTGTGTGTGTAAGCACACAAGCTTCTATTATTTCTATGATCTGCTTACTGTAGGAGAAAAGGGGAGGGTATTATTTAACAGTGTAACCCAATGCATGTCTGTTTAGAAGTGGATTTCATTGCACTTGTTGGAGTTCACTTCCAAGTAAGTGTGTATAGGGTTGCAATTTAGGCCTTTCTTCTACTAGAGAAAATATGAGTGTCATAATTTCAAAATTATAATATGCAGTAGCAAAGTTTATACATCCCCAGTCACATTTTAGGTAGTTCCTATAACAGAGTCTGATAGTTCAGATTCAGTGCCAGTAAAGCCACACACAGCCAGTAGACATACTGTTCAAAGAGAGCTCAGAAGCAGAGTCTAGAAACAGAACCAGTGTAAATAGTAAAGCCTCAGTAGAAAAAATTAAAGGAATGGAATTCAGAGTTAAATAACTATTTGATGGAGAGATTACAAAAAATAAGGTGTTGACAATAGGCAGCACCGGAGGGGGGTAAGTATATATGGATTTTTACACACACACACACACACACATATATGGGTGAGGGAGAGTATATGTCACTTTTGTCATTTTCTAAACATTCTTGTGAGGAAATGTGGATATGTTATATTCTACTTCTATGATCCAATTTTTAAAAAAGAAAAAGAAAAAGAGAGAGATACCAAGTGATAAAAGCAAAAATTGTGTGAAGTCGGCTACCAGCCTATCTGTCACAGGAAACATGGATTCCCAAATCTCAGGGACTGGCTTTGAGAAAGGGATGGAAAGAATATTATATTTTAAACGTGTTAAAATACAGTCAAAATATATGGTTTGCTATTACCCAGTTTCAGGTATGTACAGGCCCGTAGCCAGGATTTTGATGTGGGGGGGGGGGGCTGAGTTTGATTCGGGGGGGGGGGGGGGGGGCTGAGTCTGAGTGAAAGAGGGTCTACCCTAGCAAACCTTTTGTATCGTTACCCCAATACCCCCATGCATATGAGATATATTGAGCATGGTGATCAGATCATGATATGAATAAACATAACAGTTTAAATAATGTACCAGTAAGGCCTTTTCGCAGACCACCATGAGAATTTTGGGGGGAGGGGGCTGAGAGAGAGAGGGGGGGCGGAGATGCCCGCTTTTCCTGAAGGTAGGTGCAAAAACAAAGGAGGGAGCGGAGGTGGGAGATACCTCCAGCTGGAGGGTCTCTCTCTCTCTCTCTCTCTTTCTCTTGGTCCCAATGGCTGAGGAGAAAGTCAGGAGAAGAGGCGACTTTTGGTGCTCACGCTGGGGTCTTCAGACACGCCTCCGGACCTGAAGCGGGCCAGACAAGGGAGCAAGTAAACCGCGGCAGGTCCGCCCCTTGGCCCACCTGCGGATTGGGGAGAGGAGAGGAGCGCGAGGCAGGTGGAGTGCTGGGGGCTCGGGAAAGGGAGCCGGTCATGGGGAAGGGATTGAATGCAGAGAACGATTGAGCGCCAGCTCTGCATGTGCGGCCGGGTGGAGCAGGAATGAGAGGGACTACGTGAGGCTCAAGGGCCCGGCCCCTTCGGGAAGAGGATCACCCAGCAGAGAGGCAAGGAAGCCGAGGCTCTCCCCGGACTGCTAGGGCTGTTGTGAGCCAAGGGGAAGCTCCTCAAGTGGCGGTCGAGGGGCATTTACAGAGGCTCCTCTGTGCCCCTAGCAAAAAAAAGTGTACTGCGACCGCTTACTTTGCGTAGTGTACGAGCCGCCCCTGGTTGGAATGTATCTCCTGCAGATGCAGGAGCTGTACTGTATTTGGTTTGTTCTCCTATCTTTTTGGCAAGCACAGCATTTCTAAGTTATTTTTTCCCTTCCACATTTCCACTGTCAGTGTGACTTTTACAAAACTGGAATCTTTTGGGATAAACTCACATATTGATTTTACTAGTATAAATGCCAAATTAGAATTACAACAGGAAAGATCATTGTCAACTAAAGCTGTCACATCCAAATTCCTTTTTTGGATGTCAGAAATTATCAGTTGCTGGTCCTAAGTTTAAAAAATCTTCAACAAGACTTTTCTTTTTAAATAATCCAGGGTTGTGGTTTTCCCAAATGATAGAATGATTTAATATGTACAAGAACCTCAATCCATGTATGATTCATTGAAGCAAATACAGACAGTCCCTGTGTTACAGGCTAGATAGGTTCTGTTGGTTTGTTCTTCAGTTGGATTTTTGTAACATTTGTTTTTCTGTCTGTGCCCCTGTTCAGCAGGATTCACTTCACTTTCTGTCCCTATGAGAATTGGATTTTGAAAATTTTGAGTTGTCATGGAAACAAGGATTGGGGATAAAGCTTCAGTGGAGACACCTTTTCCCCATGATAACTCTTACAGGAGTGAATTTTCATTCCTTGAGATAGATTTCCTCTCACTTTCTGTTGTCTCACCCCTGTTTGTAACTATGAGATGTATGTGTTAGATGTTTGTAACTCGAGGACTCCCTGTATATCAAACCTGTTAAATATTAGAATGGGAGCAAATAAACAACATAAACCATGGTGATAATTAATATTTGTTGTTGCTTTCCACTAAACTAAGTCTTTGCTTTAGTGCATGGCACAACTTGTAAAAGGAATACTGTTCATGTCAGGTAAGCTGCTCGAGTGCCGGTGTGTGCTTTTTGCAAGCAATATGATTTGACAAGCAGTGTGTATACTTAGAAGCTTGTGCGCTGCCCCAGGTTCTGTTTAAAGACAGAAAGATTGAGAAGATTGGTGGGATGGGAGGGAGGTGACATCTAATGTACCATCTGAGATTACGTTATCAAAAATAAACAGCCTGGAGACGTTAGGACTTTATTAGAGAGGTGTGGTCTGAAGGCAACTAATATACCATCTAAGAAGGTCTGGGTTAGTGCCTAAAGGGGAGATTACCTAAGATTCTCTGCTGTATCAACCTTGAGGTCAACCATGGAAAAGTGGGTTGTTAACTACAATGAATATGTAAAAGAAAATAGTAAACCTGGATACACCTTGATGCTATACTGGAGTGTAAGTCAGTCAGGATCCATTATAAGAGTGGGAAGTTTTGGTTCTACAAGAATCCTAGTCAGCATGACCAATGTGAGGAAAAGATTAAAAGATTTCAGGAAAGATCATTCAAAAAAATTGAAGAGCCAACATTCCCTTGTAATTGAACCGTTAATCATTCCCAGAGGATTTATCAAGAACAGTCTTGGTTAGCAACACTATGGAATACCTTTGGTCTGAGACTTTGAGAAATGGTTGTCAGTTATAGAAGATGATACTCGACTAGGCAGAATGGCAGTACATATTGTATAGTGATATAGCTTGATAGAATCCCTGTATAAGTTTCCATTTTTGTCATTATCATTAATTTTATCAGGTGGTCTCAAAAATGAAGTTCAAGACATGATATATTAGTTTGTGCAGTGATGTTATAAAACTACATAATCTGGCATAGATAGAATGACAAAATTTCTGAAGAATCATACTTTCCTATTACAAAGTCACAGAACTTTTCTATTTTCTTGGTTGTTTTCCATACTTTGGTGTTGTGTGATCAATTATGTAATTAACATCTTCATATTTACATCTTCAAGCAGGAAGGAGCAGGTTATATGGCCTTCCAAAATCTGGTGCCCTCTATGTATGCTGGATTACAATCTCCATATTTCCCATGCCAGTTGGGTGCACCAGAGTATCAGATGGGAGAGATTGTGTGGACAGGTGATGTGGAGCAGCTAGGCAGTGGTAATGAACTTTCTGGCTATTGTTTTTTGACATTTTTTTTAAAAAAAACAACAAATTATGTTTCTGGACAGGTCATCACACAGCCATTGCTGAACTTACATTATAGTGATCAGGAAATCATTAATAAATTGTGAAATAGTTCATGACGTTTCAAATATTTCAACATTTGAAACTGAATACTAAGGCTCATGGTCCATGCTATAGTGTTTTGACCATTTGAGTCTGACTCTGGAGACCAGTGTTTGACTCCCCGCTCAACCATGGATATCAACTGGATGATCTTGGGCAAGTTACACACTGTGATATGTTTACATTAAGGTCACCATGAGTTGGAAATAACTTGAAAGCACACAAGAAAAACAGCAACCACAACAATAACCTGTTATCTTCCTGGATCATAGAGATGGCACTGAGCTAATTAGGTTTTTCTTAAATGTGCTTTGATTGATAAACAATGAGTAGGCAGAAATTACTGATCCACAAGGTATGCAGTTGTTCAGAATCTACCTGGTTAATATGGACAAGCTGTTATAAAGGCACTGAACTTAGGCAGGTCATAATAGATTGATCTGAAATCTAGAATGAGGCAGTGTGAATGCAGTAAAAGAGGGGAGACATGTAGGGAGGGTGGGTGGGTGGGCAGTGAAATATCGGATTTGGATGGTTGGGAAGAGAGAAAGAAAGAGAGCACAATTTTAAGCACTGGGTTACAGGGGGGAAATGAGAAAAAGCAAGACCTTCCTGAGTAATTGTAGAAAGGCATGGATTATGAAAATGAAGAGTTAAAGAAGCGTCAGAAAGAGTTTCTGTGACATTAATGCGGCTTTTGAAATGGAAATGATGGGGTCAGGCACATAAGGTCCACTCTGCCTTTGGACAATGAGGCAGTGAGATCTGCTCTGAGGCAAGTGACAAAAGGAGTGAGAGAAGATGTCTGCTGGAAGAGTCCCCATTTTTCACTGTTAAGATTGGCTGTGTGCTTCACTGCTGCCGCCACTACTCTCCTCCCCCCCACTCCAGCCTCAGGGGCCTGCAAGTGGGGGATGTTCTCCTCTCTGGCTCAGTTCACTTTGCAGAGTGTACAAGTTAGGCTTGTCACATAGAGCCCTCAAGGTACTAAAACTGGCTCAAAGAATGTTAATACAATTGAGAGGGGGGAGATTGAAAAATGAGCCAAAAGACAGAGAAAGAGCTATTTCAACACAAGTCATCTTCAAGGAGTTTGTAAATAAAAAGAAAGAGAGAGAGAGAAGAGAAAAGAAAAGAAAAGAAAAGAAAGAAAAGCAGGTAGGCATTATGCCAGGAGCACCTGCTGGCTCTTTGCATTGATATTAATCGACTAGAGATAAAACAAGGAGAAAATTATTACTCTGTTCTCCCTGCTATTTTGTTGTGTAGGGTGAAGGGATATTGGATTGAGTGCAGTACTGTCGCCCTCTTTCATGTGGGCTAATACTTTCTTTTTTCTTGGTCTCTCTTTCTCACTGGCTTTTGGAATTTCTAAATAGCAAATGATAAACTAGATCACAGGTGGACAGAAGCTCAAAACGATACTTCTAGATGATTTTGGGCAAAGCTCTGCAGTTTATTTTCAAGGATTTCTGCAATGCCACAATCACAATTATTTTTCCATATACAAATTTTCTTTGGTATAAAAATAAAACTCAGGGTGACCACGAGTGGGTCTTTCTGTGATAGGACAACAAGAAAGACCATCAGTATCCTGTGGTTTGTGTAATCACCAGCCAGGTCTCAAACCGGTTCCATAATTTCATATGTAATCATCTGCACAGTAAAACTACTTCCTTCAATAATGTTTTGAACCTTCATTAAATTATCAGTGTTGATGGACCAATTGATTACTTGGCTTGTGTTATTCTGCCCTCTCAAAAAATTGGAACGAGATCATTGAAATCATGTACCACAATTGTGAGGGGTCTATGGGCCTTTCCACACAGCCCTATATCCCAGAATATCAAGGCAGGAAATCCCACAATATCTGCTTTGAACTAGGTTATTTGAGTCCATGCTCAGATAATGTGGGACATTCTGAGATATAGGGCTGTGTGGAAGGGCCCTATCTCTGATCACTTTCAGATGGGGAGCTCCTTGTATTAATTATGCTCTTCCACTAGAAACTACAAGTGGAATTCTAATACACTAATTCATATTGTGGAGGTGCTTCACATTCTATATTAACTTCTCCATAGTTCTGCATCAGCTTCCCCATTCAAACCATGGCCGAGTGTATAATCCATGACTGAGAGCTTAGTCTCAAAGTATCTCTCTTGGCATGCCTGTGTCACTTTTGGCTAGGCAGAGATCATAGTAATGATTTTTGTGAAAAATATTGTTGAGATCCCTTCACTCTACAATTACAAAATTATCTATATTGTGGGTTGGGGGAGATTAGACCTCACCATAAGCTTAGTCCTAAATCTGGTTAGGAAGTGCAACAACACTTAACACTGAAAAGTCAAGAATGCTTCAGGATGGGTAGTAGTAACAGGATTAATTGGAAGGATCTAAAGAGACCCACTCCCCTCCCTGCCCTCCAAGTCTACATAAGCCGATTCATCTGTGATGTAAATAAACTGGCCACTTCTCCACTTCTTCTCATTCCTGTCAGTCTACTTTCTATTCTCCCTTAGAATGAAGTTAGATTTGATTAACACTTTGTGTAACTTTCTTATCTTAGAATGGAGTTCCTATAATAAGGCCTTTACTTTGTTTCTCTAAATGAGTGAATCTCAAATGCTAGTCTTCCAGGTGTTTTGGACTTCTGGAAGTTGAAGTCCAAAATATCTGGAAAAACAGAGTTTCGAAACACTACTCTAATCCAGGGGTGTCAAACTCATTTTCACCAAGGGCTACATCAACCTTATGGTTGCCTTCAAAGAGCCATTTCTAATTGTAAGACTGTATAAATGTCACTAATGATCTTGTCACATGGCCACCAGAATTGCCTTGTGTCATGGCGGGGAGGGGGGATGTGGAGCCGGGCGCCTGGTGCCCCAAGCTCCACATTACCTGGCTCCAGATTTGTTTGATCCCATGGGGGGAAGCATCAACTGTCCGGCTGAGTCCACACTGCCATATAATCAGGGGCGGCTCAACCCATTACGCGAAGTAAGCATTTGCAGTATAGTTGATATTGCCCAGGGGCGCTCTTGAGGCACTCTTGGGGGAAAATAGACCTTGACATATGCAAGTTGTAGTTACTGGGATGTATAGTTCACCTACAATCAAAGAGCATTCTGAACTCCACCAATGATGGAATTGAACCAAATATGACACACTCCCATGACAAACAGAATATATATTTCAGTGATTGGTTGGGGGGGGGGGTGTGCCAAAATACTGTTTGTTTACCGTTGAAAATTACCGAGGGCCACCTCTGCATATAATCCAGTTCAATATGGATTTTATACAACTGTGTTCTTGAAACTGCTAGGCCATTAAATGTTAATCAAGGTGGCCAAATGCAACATTCACACCTACCTCAAACAGACAAGAGTTCTTTCTCTGTCCCTGTACATTCCATAGATATACAAAATCAATTTGCCTATTTTCCAACAGACCTCAGAACCTCTGAGGATGCCTGCCAGAGATGCAGGTGAAATGTCAGGAGAGAATGCTTCTGGGACATGGCCATACAGCCCGAAAAACTTACAACAACCCTGTGTGGAAAGGGCCTTGCAGTATGCTGAAGGAAGGTAATATATAGTTCATTGTAGCATAGGTTCACATATGGACGTTTTCATTATACTGAAGGGATGTTGGATTGATTGAAAATGTATGTAATGCTAAATCTATGTTGATTTTATCTGCATGTGGGCCACACTGAAACCAACATGAAATGCTAATCATATGAACTGAAGTTTATTTATTGATTTATTGCAGTTATGCCCTTTCTTTCTCCCCCAAAATGGTATTCTAGGCAGCTACTGAAGGTCCACTGGTTTCAATCGAATAATGATGGACTAACATGTTGTTCTAACCTGTTTTATTTATAAGCATTTTTATCAGACCCTCTTCTTCTGTGGTCTTTATTTAACATTTTGTGTGTCAATTCTAGGGAATCTCCATATCTCGATAATCTCACATCCTCCTTGTGGACTACCATAGGCATCTAGTAGGACACCGTGGGGAACAGAATAAAGGACTACATCTGCCTTGTATGTGATTTTCCTACTTCTTTTTTATTTCAGTTGTTTTATCTGGTGAAAATGTAAATAAAGTTGACTGAAAAAGAAATAATTTTAAGATGTCCTTTTTTGATTATATGTGTCTCCCCCCCCCCCCCCCTCTCTCAGTTGGAGGTTCTTTTGCATGTATTGCTTTGGTGCTTACTTGGTTAATTTCTATTTGTATTTTACGTTGCTTGCCATGGGCGTTGCTGGTTATTTAAAAAGATTATTTCAATACATATTTAAAAAGAATTAACACATACACACATATGACACACACATATGGTCTTTCTAATACAAAGATGAGATATGCATTCCTTCAATTTAAAAAAAGAAAAAGAAAATGAATACCGGGTTTATTGTTTTCATTAATATGGGAGAAGCTTCAAATCATCACAGATGGAAGTTGGAGAAGAAGAAGAAGAAGAAGAAGAAGAAGAAGAAGAAGAAGAAGAAGAAGAAAGAGAGAGAGAGAGATCTTATTTGCTTCAAATCACTACCTTAGGCTCCAATTATCTGTAACCTCTGTCTCTGGGAGGGGCATGACATCTACCCAAAGATTCAACACCCTAAGGGCTCAGAACAATAAATATTTCTTGAGTGAGACAGAAAAGGCACTGGCTTTCACCTACATGCCATAATTTGGTGGCATTCATGTCCAGGGGCTGTTTTCATACATAACAGTTTTCTTCCATAGACTAGTTGCATGTAATTGGTTATAATGGAGGACTGCAACGAATACAAAAATAATGTATTTCTGACTGGTAAATTGAAAACAATGAACATTGTGTCTTTAATTTACTGGGCATTGGGGACATTTCAATTTTTTTAAAATACAGTTTTAATTTGGTTACTTTCCATGGAGCCATTTTGGCATAGTGATATGAAGGTAGGTTAAAACTCTGGGAAACCAGGGTTCAAATCCCAGTTTGACCATGGAGACCCACTCAGTAGCCTTTGGCATTTGGCAAGCCATACTCTCTCAGCCTTACAGGAAGACAATTCCTCACTAAACAAATCTTGCCATGAAACCCATAATATATTTATCAGAGACTGGTCAAGTTGCAATATCAAAGTTGTGCAACCATATGCACAACCAAATATGTACATGCATCTGTATGCATGTACATATAAATCTGCAATCACACTGTGAGCAAATGTCCTAGTCTATGACTTTAAAAAGACACAGGTGTATTTAATTATGAATTAGATTGGCTTGTGGGTAGGCATATCAATTTGCTGTTAGAATTTAATTTACAGCACATAGGTTTATGGGTAGGTTCTCCCTTTCATACAAGGACACTAGTGAATTGAGCTTGGTTTGGAGGGGACCTGACAAAAGCCCTCTGCTGGACCTCCTGAGTCTTCCTTGCTGGACCTATGAAGAGTAGGCATGGCCAGGTTTTGTCGGAATACTTGTAATTTGGAATTTTTTTGATCAACCAAGCCTAATGAAGAGATAGCAAGCATTAGCAACTCTCACAATAGCATACAGCCTTGGGACAGTACAGGACTTTGCCTAAACATTTCTGTATTAAAATGATTAAAATGGCAGTACAAGAATTAAAATCCAAATGGTTGCATTGAATGTTTGATCACTGGGGAAGTGGGGGGATCATAAAAGTGCAAGGCAGGCATAAGCAGTAGACCCTTCCAGAATGCTGGGACCAGCTCCTTAAGGGCTCTTCTCCACTGCCATATAATCCAGAATATCAAGTCAGATAATCCAATTATAGGCTTTGAAATTGATTATCTGAGTCTACAAAGCAGATAATGTGGATTTTATACAACTGTATAGAAGTGGCCCTAGTTTGACATTTCTGATTTGAGGCATCTTAATAATTTAGGGAAAGCTACCATCCAATTGTGCCGGTTTGGTACAGACAGACAGTTCAAATTAATCCTTTGTTCCACTTTTTTCAGATGATTTTAAAAATTCCAAAATCCTCTCTCTGAGGGCCCTTCTACACTGCTATATAATCCAGATTATCAAAGCAGATAATCCATATTATCTGATTTGAATTGGATTATATTAGTCTACACTGCTATAGAATCCAGTTCAAAGCAGATAATCTGGATTTTATATGGCAGTGTAGAAGGGCCACACTTTCTCTGGCCCCTTCTACACTGCCATATAATCAAAATTATCAAAGCAGATAACCCACACTGTCTGATTTGAATTGGATTATATTAGTCTACACTGCTATAGAATCCAGTTCAAAGCAGATAATCTGGATTTTATATGGCAGTGTAGAAGGGGCCTCCCTTTTGTGTTCAATTTACTCCAAATGCTGGAAACTGAGGCCTCTTCTACACAGCAGTATAAAATCCATGTTATCTGCTTTGAAATGGATTATATGGCAGTGTAGACTAAGACAATCAAGTTCAAATCAGATAATGTGAATTTTCTGCTTTTATTTATTTATTTATTTCTGGTAATTCTATCCCGTCTCTTCTCTACCCCCGAAGGGGTACTCAAGATGGCTTATCTGGCTGTGTGGAAGGACCCTGAGTTCAAAGTAAAGTAATGTGCACTCAGTTTGTTCATCGGGGGGAGAGGATTTTGCTCTTTAAGGCCCCTTCTACATTGCCATGTTATCCAGATTATCAAAGCAGATAATTCACATTATCTACTTTGAACTGGATTATAGGAGTCTATACTGCCATATAATCCAGTTCAAAGCAGATATTCTGGATTTTATATGGCAGTGTAGAAGGGGCCTATGATTTAGCTTCTTCTGCTTTGTGCATGATTCCTCAATAAATACCTTTTGTCATCATGACCACCTTCTAAAGTTGTTTTGCTTTGCATCCGTGAGATTTTGGAGGGTATGGAAAAGAACATGTCTTTTAACCATGGGTCTTTTAGATATCATTGGATTTCTGCTTCCATGTGTTTGAAGGCACTTCCACAAAATTCTCAGAATGAGTTAAGCAGGCATGGGTGACTCATGGATGGCAACTCCCATGAGTTCTACTTCATTGACTGTGCTTGCTTAGACCCCTTCTACACTGCCATATAACACAGAATATCAAGGTAGATAATCCACAATATGTGCTTTGAAATTGATTATTTTGGCTTTTCCAGACACAGCCCATATCCTGGACCCTGTCGGATTTTAATCTGAGGCGTCCAAACAATGCCTCATGTAAAAGCAATTTGAGACAAAACATGTAAACCCTGCTTTGTCTTGAATTACTTTGATAATACATTAGACCCGAGCCTTCCTGAAAGTTCAAAAGCAGATCATGTGGATTATCTGCTTTGATCATCTGAATTATATGGCAGTGTAGAAGGGGCCTAAGCAAGCATGGTCAATGGAGTAGAACTCATGGGAGTTACCACCCATGAGTCACCCATGCCTGCTTAACTTGTCCTGAGAATTTTGACCCCACATCCCTTAAATTAATAAGAAAATGGTGAGTTGTTCCCTTCTCTAACCTTACTTTCTTTTCCCCAGCAACACCTAAAAGTTCAGAAAGGGAAACGCGTGCAAAGAAGTGCAGCATAACAAACCATTTGTTTACAACGTCTCTTTTTGCCTACTATGTTTTCTGAGGGCAATCTTGGCCTTCTCGGAGGATGAAGAAATCTGTCACCATGGGTCAGAGGTGTTCCTAGCCAAGGGAAAAGGGGAGGCATTGTGGGATGGGCTAACCAGCAAGAGACAGGGACATGCGCCAAGGGCAGCTGCGATGGGCAGCAGCGCTCACCCTCCGACACACACACACATTCAGACACTAGAAGCTTTGTCTCTGGCTCTTGAGCCCTCCACAGACCTTGCCTAAACATTTCTGCATTTCCCATTGGCAGCCAGAAGGAGAAGAATCTTGCCTCTTTTAAAGGAAGAAGCAGACTCACAGGAAGCCAGTTTTTGTATGAGATCCTTCTCTGTGCAAAACGCAAGCAGAGTCACAAAATATCCCAAGTTTGAGCATATTCTAATAAACATGCATAAACAAGTTGACAGTTCACAGGCTGATGCTTGGATGCTTCCGCTCACATGGGGTGCCCCCCAATCCCTCCTCGACTACCCCAGTTTAACTATTAACAGGCTGGCTGGCCTGATGGAGACAATGGTTTGTTTGTTTAGCACCAAGGACTAGAATGGCACTCCTATCAGGGGCTCTGGCAAATTTATCAAAGCTCAGTGATTAGCTCTATTAGAGAAGGGATTTGTGTAAACAAAAAGACAGGTGCAAAGAGGCTATTCCAGCTGGCAAAGGCTTCATAGAGTTTTCAGCCCTTTCAGGGGCAATAAAATAAAACTTCTTCCAGGAAACCGAATCAAACTGGAGAGAGTGCATGTATATTTTTAACTCATTAGCTCTGACCCCCCCTCCCCATTGTCTGGCCATCCTCCCCCCCCCCAATTTAGCTCCCTCTACTTTTAAAGGAATGTTGCTCCCCCCACCAAAAAATCCCCCTTTCCCTCCAAATCCCTCCTGGTTCGCCATAAAGGAGCAGCTGCCCCAATATCTCTAAAACCAGTACTCCCATCAATTGTAGATTAGGAAGGATTGTTTTCTTCTTCTTCATTGCCATCTCTGTTGCACAGCCATTTCCCTTTTGCTTTGTCAGAAGGTGCCAAATGACATTGTCATTATGGTCATCCTTCTTAAAAAGTAAAGATGACTACACCACAGAGGACCGATTGAGATATTGTGGAAGGGGGGACCTTTCAAAGCAGATGATGGTAGTGACAAAATGAAAGAGAACAACTGTTTAAACAAGAAATGTTAACATTTAATGTCATTTTCACACTATTTATATTTATTTGAAAAACTATATGGATTTACAACAAGTTTTACTGCACATGCTGTCCATCGGCATACACGTGTAATGAATGACAACAAATGAATTGCAATAAATATGAATAAAATAAAGTATGAATGGTAATAAATCACAAAGGCAAAACAAAAAGAGATATGATGAGAGTTTAATGTAATGTGCCTAATAAATAATTAATTTTAGGTGGATGGAGAAAATAAAAGCCAATATTTTATGAAGTCCCTTTTTGTCTTCTGTTTATAATAATAATCATCATCATCATCATCATCATCATCATC